TCCAAAGTCCAGGGAACACATCTGATGAGGGTCTTCTTAGGTGGTGGCTTTACAGCAATGCAGGGGTCTCACATGACAGAAAATGGCAGAGCAGAGAGACTCTCATGTGCTCTCCTTTTAAACCCAGAACCACAGCCCTGACCACAATTATTAATCCATACACTCCTGCATGGTACTGCAATCTAATCACCTCTTCAAGGCCTCACCTTTCAATTACCATAATAGGATTTCCCATCCTCTTAACACTGTCACAGTGGGGACCAAGCCTCCAACACATTAAACTTTTGCAGGGACACAATTCAATCCATAATAATGAGAGTGAAGCGATTTTGGACCTTCCAGCCAACTCCCCTCTGGATGAAGCCATGTGAGTGAGCCCAGGTGAAATCAGAAGAGTCATAAGAAATAAACCACTGTTGGTTGACACCATGACATATCAGCATGACTTGTCACACACTACTTGAAAACTGATACAGGGGAGATGGAGAAAACTAACCAAAGCTGAGGCTCAGATTTATGGCTTAAGTTTCCTGAGATAAAGTCAGAAGCACCACCCCACTGCAAAAAAGAATGAAATTCTGCCGTTCACAGCAGCATGGATGAGCCTGGAGAAAATTATGTTAAGTGGGACAAGCTGGGCAGAGAAAGAGAAATATTGCATGCCCTCACTCATAAGTGGGAACAAAGGAAGAAAGGAAGGAAAATCAATAACATGTTGAAATTTTGGAAGGACAGAACAGAACTGTGGTCACTAGAGGCAGGAAAGGGGGAGGTCGACGGGAGTTAATACACACAAGGAATGATTATGTTTTGCAATGATGAACATGTTAATTATCCTGATTTGATCATTACACATTGTACATAGGTATTGACATCCAACACTGTACCTCACAAATATGTATAATCAGTTATGCTTTAATTAAAAAATTAGCTTAAAGTGAAGCACGAAAAGAAAAAAAAAAGATTATATATGAAAAAATTCCAGAAGCAGGAACCGTTTTTAGAAAAAGTTGTGACATTTAC